AGCTCCCTCACCTCTGAGCCTCTGTCCCTGCGCTTCCCTCCCCCCCTCCCCCCACCCATGTGCGTGCCTCAGGCGCACGGGGAAAACGGGAGCCCGGAGACATGGGTCCACACAAGATCCTCCCCGTTAATCATTAGGCTGTACTGGGCAAGCCGTTTCCTTCTCTGTGCCTCAGTTTCCCCAGCAGTAAGCCAAGGAAGTCTGTTAGATCATAACTGTTTAGAGATCCTTCTGGCCGGGACCTATACAATTCTCAGTCCTGTCCCAGACCTCCACCCCCATCCCCAATACCCCCAGGAAGTCTGAAAGGGAATCTTGCCTTTCTACATCTCGCATCTGCAGGCTCATACCCGTCACCCCCTGTATCCATCCACCCGCTGGGACATCGCCCAGGTATCTTGGACGGGAAGGGGTCATTTCAGGGGAATGGGCCCTGGTCCGGGAAGTTGGGGCGCGCTCTGCATCCCGGTGGCTGTGGACGTTGCCAGGCGCCAGGGGATCCCCGCCACCAGCTCCCAGCCCCTCTCAGCCCCGCCCGCAGCAATTCTTCCCCCTTCCTCCCCCTGTATGGACCTCAGGCGGCTGCTCTCCGTTCCTGGGAAGGGTTCTGATACTGTGCGTCCCCTGGCTAGCTGCTCCCTGCTCCCTGCTCCCTCCGTACCCCACTTTCCAACCCGTTCCCCCCACCCGGGCCAGCCCGGAGCAGCCCTCCCTCCCCGGGGAACTGCGCACCGGGCGGCGCTCGGACCCCTCGGCAGCCAGCAGGTGCCACGCTCCCGCCCAGCCCGGCTCTGCGCCCCGCTCTCTCCACGTTTCTGGGAGTTCCCGTTACCCCTGCTTCCCGGGCGGCCTCACCAGTCCCAGCTTCTAGGGAGTCGAGAAGGGAGAAGCCAGATCTAGGTGAGTGGTGGCCTCGATTTTCCTTTTCTTTTTACTGAACTTGCATACTAAGGGCACTGGTGGGGAGCTCGGAAGTTAAAAGGGAAGAGAAAGAAGACAAAGGCAGGCGGTCCAGGCAACCCACCGCAACCGGATAGGGCTGGGACTGGTCCTAGCTCCCTGGCTATGCTGTACCCCACCTGGTCCCCCAGCCTCCCCCTGACTGGGATCCACACACACACAGACTTTAGCGAGTATTTGTTGGGTGGAGACAAGGGCTGGAAGTATTTCTGCTTGTTTCTCTCACTCAGCTTCCAATCAAGCAGAAACTGCCTTTGGTGGGTGATTTCATCTCCACAAGGATTCCTCCCTCCTGAGCGGACGGATTTGAACACAGATCATTAAAAAGGTGGTGTGTTCACACCAGGGCCTGCTAGGCAGCACGAAACAAGTACAAGTCAGGGCTGCGGGGATCAGCATGCCGAGATGGCAGAGGTATAAAGATATATGAGCATCAGATACAAACATATACCTACTTTAGGATGTCATTTAGGCGATTTCTTTAAAATACATGTCACATTGTAAAATCATAGAAAGTGGACTGTAAACTGTGTCCCGGATTCATGATTGTGGCTGTCTGGGCGGGGTGAGAGGGGAATGAGTTTGGCCTAAGGATGAGGGTGGAGTTAATATTTTACCTAGAATTCTGAATACATACAAATGACGAAGCAAAGATGATGAAACAGAAACTATATAACGCAGGGCAACGTTAACCTGAGGTGTGTGTGTGTGTGTGTGTGTGTGTGTGTGTGTTTTTTAAATGGTATTTTCTTTCTTCCCTCTGGTTCTACATCATTACCAGTTTAAGAAGTTCTGATTTTCAAATGCAAACGCAATACGTTCTGCCTATGCGATGCCTTTGCCATGAGGTGTACAGTTGTGTCAGACGTTGCAACTTTCTTGCATTGCAACTTAGGTTCCTCAATTCCTGAAGATGACACCTCTGCACCGAGGGAGCCCTTACCTACTGACAGCCCCCAAAATATAGGCCCTAGGTCAGATGTTGGCAGTAGAGAAGGGAGTCTGCAGTTAATCGTCTGATGATAGGTCACGGTAGAAGCTCAAGTGTTCTGTGTTCTTATAAACCACACGGTTCTCTTTCTCATTTCCTATGTGGAGGAGGCTCACTTCCATGGGTGGTGACTGCCCTCTTGACATCTTGAAATGAAACTTATCTGATGCTGCAGACTTAGTACCAGGAGGTGAGGAGGGTGTTAGGTTTGGCAGAAGGGAGTCTTACAGCATTTCTGGGCCCTACTTCAGCAGAATGGGTGGTGGGGGAGGGGGGAAATGTGCCCCTATTTTCCTGGCAGAGAAAGGTTGATTTCTCTCTGGATGGGAGGGAAAGTTGCCTAATGTGATTATCCACATGGGGAGAAGAAGAGAAAGACAATTCTAAATTGGATGCGGTATTTGAAGTGCAATGGAGAAACCTCTGCCTCATCATTCCACCCACCTTTCCCTGCCCTGCTTACATAGCTTCTTCCTGCTAAGAAATCACTGTGTCTTTGGTGAACAAAACTGTCTGCAGGTCACAAGGAACTTCTGAAATGTGGCAGGTTGCGGTACTACTCCTCTCTCCTTTGCTTTCCGAGTGACAACTTGCAAGGTCAATGCTTGGTTGCAGAAGATAGGCTACTTGAGAGAGGCCCGGGGTGTGAAGAAAGCATGTGGGAATGACAGGGTGGGGGTGTGGTGGGAAAACTTGAGGCTTCACATAAAAATAATAAGAGAGTGTAGCCGCGCCCCCTAACCCCCGCTGTGTTAACAATCGCAGTTCCTTAAAACCCATATTCTCTTTAGGATCAATCTTCTCAAATGTCATCTGTGGCACAGCCCTGACACTAGTCCCCACTTATTCTGGACTCGAAATGCAATAGTAGAATGCACAGGGCACCCCCATCGCTTCTTCCTAACCCACAAGGAAACACTAGGGCTTCTTCCTACTCCCTTTTCCAAGGGAATTAATAGCCCTTTGTTTTCTTCAGCCTGGAGACACAGCTGAGTTCTTTCTATTCCCCGAGCTTCCTCCAGCCACCTGTTACCACCTGCCCCTCCAGCCCCTCTCCCACGCCATTCAATGGGTTGCCTCCTAATTGCCGATTCTTTCTTTGCTCTTTGTTTACAGATTCTTTTTTAAAGTTCAGAAGACACTTGGCCAGCAGTTGGCTTTTGGAATGAAAAGTAGAATTTCTTTAATGAGTCTGCCTTCCAAATAGGGCTTTACTTACATTTTTCCTAACAGAAAACTAAGCCTTTCTTCTAGGCTTGTTTGGGGGCTTCTCAAGTTCTTTTTCAACAACGTCCTTAGGGCAGGTTCCCTAGGGACACCTTCCTCAATGATGTCTCTAGTTTGTATCTCCTTCATCAGAAAAAGTCCAGGAGGAAATCAGTCTGCAGGAGTCAAATTAAATGAATGCATAACTATGTGGAACAACACACCTATGTTGTTCTCTCTTTCCCTCTATAAAATTCAATTTTAAAAGACCATACATGATAAGGAAATACTGCTACTATTAAAAATATCTGTAGCCAGCAATTGTTCTTTGCATGGGCCATTTGTGTCCCACACTTGTGAGTAGCTCAGGCTGTTTAGCTAAAAATGAATATTTCAATAATTTGTATAAAATCACTAGCGTCCCCCATTTATGGTAGATCTGAAGGGCTGGCTCCTGGACCCATGTTTCCATGTGGCAGAACTCTCTTAGATGTGAGGGCAATGACCTCTTTTCGGTGGAGCCTGGATCCTCCAGGTTGCCAGTGTTCCCAGCAGTCACATGCCTCTGCCTGGTCTGCTTAGCTCCTTTGCATTCCTGCCTGGCTCCGGGAGGCATCTGAGCCTGTGATTCCTGAAGAAGGCACTGTCCTTTCCCCCATTTTACAGGTGAGGTGTGATGTCACTGGCCCAGAACCATTCTCAGTGTCACTTTTAGAACCATAATTCTGGATGCTGCCTTTTTTTTTTTTTACCAATCTCAGGGAAAGTAAAATTCTTTTTTTCCGTACCTTAGGATATGTTTATTGATTTGAGAGAGAGAGAGAAGAAGACAGAGAGAGAAACATCTATATGAGACAAAAACATCCAGCGGTTGCCTCCTGTACACACCTTGACTGGGATTGGAACCTGCAACCTAGGTACATTGCCCTAACTAGAATCGAGCCCATGAACTTGGTATACAGGACCATGCTCCAACCAACCGAGTCACCTGGTCAGGGCAGGAAAGTAAAATTCTTTACGATTGGGTTTAGAAATGAAATAAACAAACAAAAAAAACCCCATAAGTATATCTGTTTTCCAGGGCTTTATAGCTCTCATATACATGACTTAATTTGAGCATTAGAGTAGCTAATAATTACTGAGCAGGTATGCAGTGAAAATACTTCACATATTATCTCATTAAACGTTTAATCTCCATGGCAGTAAGGACCATGATCAAGTTCAGGGAAGGGAAAAAAGAAACATATTTAGCAAAATTTAGCAACTTCCTGGGGTGGGAAAGCCCAAACTCAGCCCTTGCTCCTTTTATAGTGTAGTACCTCCCAGGGGTCAGAAAAAGAGAGGGGATATATTATTTACAATTAAAAAAGAAATTAAAGGTGTTGATCACACATCAAAAAATGTTTAAGTCAACATGTTTTCTCAAACATATGGAGCGTCACAATAAAATACTATTTTTATTTCATAGTTGTTAAAGTACTGCTGACCTCATTTTAAACTTGTCTTCATACTTCAAACGTTTTTCGCTTTGCTCCTTCTTTGTAAGCCTACTATATCCATTAACTAATGAGGCTGTGAAGTAGCTTCTCCCAGATGCTCAATGTTCTCAGTTATTGCTGAAATTATTTTCAAGTACAAAAAATTTTACGGAATGGTACAAATGAATACTTTAGCCACCGTCTGCACTCAGGGTACTAGAATGTGCCATTTGTACAGTGTTACAGGGCCATGATTTCTTGTTCTCTCCTTAATATCTAGCTAAGGCATCATACCTCTTCTGAGTGAGGATGGATGTTTCTGCCGGGATTATGTAACCGGAGGATCCAGGTCTGAGCAGACAACCATGGGAGCCAATACATCAAGCAAACCCCCGGTTTTTGATGAAAATGAGGATGGTAAGCAATGGGTGCTACTGGTGCATAATGGGTACAATTTTGCACAATTTAAAAAGCGCTTAGTTCCTTAGGTGTATTTTAATGTACTGCAAGGGTAAGCCAAGAACTTTGTATGCTCACAGTTAGATTTTACCGCCCACTTTCCATGGCACTTCCTGACTGCACCAATGCCCTATGTCCAAAGGGGGCTATTGGGGACTTGGTCAGTAGAAGACCTTGAAGTGAAATGATTTGTTAGTTCTCTATGCTGTTCCTTTGACATTTGAGGTTACTACTACCCACTCCTAGTTATTATAGAACATTTCTTATATTATCAAATTACATGTGAACGATAATGCATACTCATAGTACAGAATGACATTATTAAGTAGGTTTTCCTGAGCCTCTAACTGCCAAAATCCAGAGTCCTAGACAGATTCCACAATGCTAAGTCACAGGAAAAAGAATCGGTGGAGAACTTTCAAGACCAGGCTTAGCAAGTAAAGAAGTAAAAGCATGGACCCTGATTCTCCGGTCACCCCACCATGAGGCGTGCCAAAACCAGGCATGTGCCTGATAATTCTTCCTTCCCATAGTGGGAGTCAGAGCAGCCTCGTCAGTGCATGCGGGGTAGCGCTGTTTATGTGTTGTCTGGGAAAAAGAAGTTCCTAGCTAGTAAGTTGTCTGGGCTTCCCATAGGGAGCCCCCAGAGTCATTTCCAGGAAGTTCTGCTAATGGACTTTAAAAGAAAAGAACAGTGAACTAAAATTCAGGAGATCTGAGCACCAGGTCTATTACAAAAGTTACCTGTGAAGCTTGAGAATTATTCCCTTTTCAATTTCTTCATCAATTAAGTGAAAGATAGGCTTATCTTGAAGGTCTTTTTTAACTCAAAAAGTTTACCATTTTGAAATCCTCAAACCAATTTGCAAACATGATGATGTAATGTCACAATCATGAAGGAAAGTTGTGTTAAAATGGCCATTTGATTGCTGGAACAGAAACTGAATACTAGTAGCTTAGACAAGACGGACATGTTTTCTTTGTTATGTAACACTCTAGGCATAAGTAATAGGTGATGTATGGCTCTAGAAGGTTAGGGATGGTGACTCTGAAAAGCTGATTTCTCTCCTTCTCTTTCTACCCCTAGAGTCTTACTCTCCCCCTGGTGCCTCTGGATGGCTCACCTCTTCCAAATGCCAGCAATGGAAGGGGGAGAGGGGACTGTGCCCACTGTTTTGAAGCACATGATCTGGTTGTAGCTGGTCACTTTCATTCACATGCACATACCTAGTTACAAAGGACATGGAAATTTATTTATTTTGTATGGCCATGAACCTGCTCAAAATAAGGTGTTTTGTTTAGTTCCCTGGGAAGAATTAGCAGTTTGCCATGGTTGTGGGGCATAGCAGAAGCCTGCTACAATCTTAGTTTTTGAGACTTTGGATTGACCCTTTTAAAAACAAAATATCTAACTGATCAGTTTTTCTTTGATTCCAGCTATTCACTATTAATTTAGAGGCACAAAATATTGTATAGGAACCCTGAAATTATAGAGTTAGAAATGGTCTTAAGAAATTTTTTCCACTCTTAATTTCTATTGCCTTGCTTTGCTTTATCAACTGGGGATGGGACCTGCAACCTAGGTACATGCCCTAACCAGGAATTGAGCCCATGAACTTGATGTACAGGATAATACTCCAACTGAGTCACCTGGTCAGGGCTGGCAAAGATCTAAAGACTAGTGATGGTACTTGATTTTTTCACCTCTAAAATGGGAAGACAAGTTGGCTTGGATTTTATTCATTTGGTTCACTATCTACCCAATGGATTCAGAGCTAACATTGTTCATTGGGCTGGTCCTCAGAGAGCAATGTATGAAAGAGAGGTCAGCTTCATACTTCTAAGTTGCTAAGGATATGTGTCATATCAAGGTATTAGAATAGCATCAGAAAGAGCAAACTTAAAATTACTAAATACTCTTTAATTCAGCTATCCATTCTTCTCATGGTGTGCCCAAGAAAGTTCTAGAGCCAAGGAAGTGTGGCCAATGGGAAATGAGGCACCACTTCATAAATACCTGCAAAAACACTCTGGTAGAGTTAGGGTTAGGTCAGAGTCAGGTTTAAGGAGCAAGCAGTTCTTTCTCAAAACCCTCTAGGTTGCCACTTTTTTGTTGTCCAACCTCCCCCAGCCAAAGAGATGATCCCACTGTAGCACCCATAAAGAGAAGAGCTGAGTAGAGCAGTCTGTCTGTGCTTCCCAGGGGACAAGTTCTGAGCCCACTTACATACACGGCTGCAAGGCAGAACCATAAGGACAACTTCACCTACTATGAGCCTGTCACTCATTTAGGATGAGGAATAGAGTCGAAAACAAGATGGCCCTGCCCTGCCTTTGTGGAACTCATGTTCTACTGGTGGAAGGCAAACAACAGACAGGTAAAAAATCCAGATAACTTCAGAGAATGGTAGAGTAACTCCAAAGAATTAAGTCAGAGTGAGCTTATGAAGAGAGACAGGGTGATAGATAGGGTATGGCTGGGTGTGGCCTCTCTGAGAAGGTGACATTTGAGTTGGAAAAGGTGAAAAGGAACCACTCATGTAATGGCATGAGAAGAATAGTTCAAGCCCAGGTAAAAAGCAAATCCAAAGTCCAATCAATGAAAAAGTTGGGATTGAATAGTTGGCTACCTGATGGCCATGAGTTTGCAAATATCAAACTAATTTTTATATCAATACATCTTATAGAGTTGATTTGGCTTCTTTTATAGCTCTGGATTGAGCACAGAGTAAATTTTATTTGATTGCTTTGAAGCTTCTGACCAAGAAACAAAAACAATAAAGAAAAAAGTACTAATCAATTAACATTAATGCTTATATTATTTTGATGTCCATTTTTTTAATGTAAATAATCAAATCAGGCCAGAATCCAGAGCCCTTAAATGAGCCAATTTAATTATTTTTAAAATATTGCTGAAGAGAATACTAATATGTAATGATGAAAAATTGTTTACTATTCCCAACATTGGTTTGAAGAAAATTTAAACCAATTTCCCCTGGTAATATTTGAAGATTTCTTTCTCATGGAAAATGTTTTGCTTCACATGGAAGGTAATTAAGGAATAAGATAAGATGTTATTGGATGTCCCTTGAGATAAGCTGTTCTCGCTAGAACTCATCCAGACACTTTGTATTTTGTGTTGTTCCATCTGATAGTGATACTGAAAGAATTTTTCTCTTTGCTACTTATGTAGATCTTCATTTAATGAAAATAAAGTGTAAGCTTTACAGTACTGTTGGACATAGTAAGGTTTGCTTATTTGGTTAATGTTAAGTCAATTTTTACAAAGTAGACCTCAAATTATACTATTGTTTTGTTCTGTGGCTCTCACTTTTCTATTTTAGCACAAACCTAAGTCCTAAATTACTTTTTTAAAATTATGATAAAATACATATCACACAATGAACCATTTTAACTAGTTTTAAGTGCACAGTTCAGTGGCATTGAGTATACCGGTATTCCCATTTGGGGGCAACCATCACCACCATCTAGAACTTTTTCACCTTTCCAAACTAAAACTGTCCCCACTGAACAATAACACCCCATTCCCTCTTTTCCCCAAGCCCTGGCAACCACCATTCAACTTCCTGTTCCTATGAATTTGACTATTCTAGGTCCCTCATAATATTTGTCTGGCTTATTTCACTTATTCAATGTTTTCAAGGTTTATTCATGTTGTAGCATGTATCAGAATTTAATTATGTTTTAAAGCTGAATAATATTCCGTTGTGTGTATATAAAACATTTTGTTTATTCTTTCATCCATTCGAAGACATTTGATGGTTCCCATCTTTTGACTGGTGTGAATTTGTCTGCTATGATGAACAAATGTTTGTGTCCCTATTCTTAATTATTTTAGTTATATGTACTTAGAAGTGAAATATTTGGATCTTATGGTAATTCTTTAATTTTTTGAGGAACTACTGGACAATCTTCTACCTAATTATGTTTAGTATTTTAGTAATGAGCTGATTGGCTATAATGGGCTAAAAGCATGGGCTCTGGTATTGGACAGATATGTGCAGGTTCAAATCTCAGCTGTGCCACAGACTAGCAATGTGGAAAATAAAGGGGACATAGTTTGATCATGCATCATGAAACACTGAAGTCAATTTGACTCATTATGAAGTGTTCTAGAGGGACTTGCAATATCATGAAAAAGTCCCCAGCCTACATATGGAAAAAAACATATGGAAAAAAACAACAACTTATATATGTAGCGATGGGTATACTTCATTGGGTCATTATGAGAATTAAATAAAATAATGCAAGTAAAACACTTAGCAAACTGTCTTAGATAAAGTGATCATCCAATTAATGCCAATGATATGATAGTATTATTTATTAGTATTGGAGTCTCTTGGCATGAACTCTTTAAACTACTTCAACTTTGGAAAGAAACAAAATTGATTCAATGCAACTCCATTGATGCCATAGTCAGTATGACCTATGCACAGTTCTATCAATGGAATTGGATCAATGGAAGGGCAGAAAACCTATATAAAAGTCCTCTCAATAGAGGCCAAGTTATTGACTGTGCAAAACAGTCTCATCTGGTTTTCCTTTATACCCCTGAGTTGATGGTGATTTTATTTAAGGCAAAATTGAGAACTCATTGAATTGCAAATCAATAAACTTTTTCTTTTCTTTTTTATTTTTAAAAAAATTATATATATATATATATATATATATATATATATATATATATATATTATTTCAGAGAGGAAGGAAGAGGGAGAGAGGGAGAGACGGAAACATCAATGATGAGAGAGAAACTTAGATCTGCTGCCTCCTTCATGCCCTTCACTGGAGATTGGGCCACAACCCAGGCATGTGCCCTTGACCAGAATCGAACTCAAGATCCTTCAGACCTAGACAGATGCTCTATCCACTGAGCCAAACTGACTAGGGCAATAAACTTCTGACTTCAACCTAAAGCTGCCTATTTTAGTAATCCA